ATCTCCGAATTTGCATGAAATATTTCAATTCAACGAAAATTTTTTTTTTGTTGCATTAATTATGATCGCCACTGTATGTATCTTTCAATTGCCAATTAAGGGTGATTGGTTGATCAGAGACGAACAGATCCAAAATCATATTTCTGACTTTATGTGCATTGTAATAATATAAGCATGAAATCCAATACTGTTGCAATTTTATTGGTTTTTTTCGCTATTGCAAATGCTCAGGATACAAATGATTGCATAGAAGAATGCAATTCAAGTAAATATCATTATAATCATCATTCTATCATTTAATTCAATTCGTCAATTTATAATACTAACTTTTAACTAGGTCTTTTTACAGCTCTCCCTAACAATGATGCATACAAAGCTTGTGTTAATGGTTGTATAACCAAATATTACTTTAATCCCACTATAACTTCATCACCTTCTGGTAGCAATTACTATAATCCCACTATAACTTCATCACCTTCTGATAGCAATCCCACTATGACTTCATCACCTTCTGGTAGCCCTAGCAAAACTTCCCCTTCTGGTAGTCCTAGCAAAACTTCATCACTTTCTAATAACATACCCAGTGACAGTTCAAACGTCTTTTCATCATCGAGTAATCATACTTTCAATACCTATTCATCGGTTGCAATGTCGTTGATTTGCGTGGTGGCTGGTTTGATGAGTGTTGGTTCTAATTGGATTTAGAGGCATTTATTCTATTAGATTAATATTCCCGGTGTTATTTTTATTTATAATATTATTTTACTAATAACTATTATTATACATAAGGGAAGTGTCTTTTATCACCTGATTTTGGGGATCAGGTTATGTCAGGTGGGGAGAGGGAGAAGCCTTATAATATATGGAAATCACCTGATAAGACACTCTCTAATTGGAATATGTGCGGGTTGAGGTGTGTACGAATTTAGAGAATTAATAAATCAAGAGGCAATAATACAAGATTCCTTTTTTACACGTATTAATTAATCTTAAATTGCCTGTATTACTAGCGCTAGTAGTTAGCTACCCAGTTCATTTTTATTTCAATTGGTTTGTTCCTGTGCCCACAAAATTTGACAATTTATGTGGCCATTCTCGACCAATCATATGTCAGCTTAAAATAGATTACCACAGAGAAGAAACGTGTAATTTCGAAAAGTGGTGCTCGGATTCTATTACTATTGATTATTGATTTTGCTTATATAAGCAAATTTATATTCAGATGATTGCTTGTTGATCTGGCAACACGGTTTCTGCCTTTTTGGAATCCAGAAAAACCCACACCGTTAATTACGATTTTAATATGGATTACGAAACCTTCAAAATCCCAAACAACAAACTAGCATACCTCTCCATTAGAAAATATGTGTTGCACAACATTATCAGGGAATTGTATTTCCGCAGTGCCGTCGGAATGTGTGCGTTCAATCTGTCCATTACAATATTCAACGACTTCTTCTCCGTCTGCGAAAATTGTGTGTACTGTTCCGTCCGTGTAGAAATAAGTGATTTTTTGATGTGGGACAATCTAGGAAGTTAATTTATGTTTAATTATTATTATTTTTTATCATCGAACTATAATGACTATTAACGGTACCTCTTTTATGTCCCCATTCTCAAAATGCACTATAACAATACTATCACCCCTGATTTCTTTTATAACACCATTTGACAATAAAATTAAGCGTGTTCCATTCGAGTAAATGCGTTCTAGTTTCCCTTCGTCGTTTTTTATGGTTTCCTAAATACAAATCAAATTGGATTTAGCTCATAAAACGGAGATTAAAAAATATATATATATTAACTTTTGAAAATTTAAAAAAATACCTCGACACATGTCCCAATATTTTCTATTTGCTCGGCAAGCTTGTCCAATTTCTCACATCCAGGATTTGGTGGCAGATTGAATTTTACAGTTTTACTTGTTGAAGATCTATCAGTTTCTGTATATTCGCAGCTATTGTTAATACTCTTTTGATGAAAATGACGATAATTTTCTTTGGATTTTGATGAAGATTCTAATGATGGGATGTAACTTGCGCTTCCGTCCTATACATCAAGTACCTCAATTATGGATTAAATATTATCGATAATTTGTTTTTGCTTATTTTTAGTGTTATCGGAACATTCATTCACCTTCTGATTCTTTAAAAGTTCTTGATTTTGTCGTGACAACTCATTAATTCGTCGTTTTAGTCTTTCCAACTCAATCCGATGAATGTTTTCTCGATGATGCAGAGTATACTGTAAATCACATATCTGTTTTTGGAGACTATCCACTTCTTGAATATGTCTACGATAAAGATTACTAATATTATAAGTCTACTTAATTCAATCAACAAATATACACCATTTTTTTGAAAAATTAGAAGATTATTATTTACCATCTCCACCCACCTTTGCGAAGGCGCCAACTCCAATTCTGTCCGCGTTTTAGTCCACTTTTTCTTCTCGGTTTCTATGATTTGTAGCTCTTGTTGTTTTTTAATTTCGATTTCTGAGAGTTCCATGTTTTTGTAGTGTTCGAAATTTGCCTGTATATGATTTTTGTATGATATAAATTATAGATTTGTTTATAATATTACTAGTAAAATACCTTTTCTTTAACAAATTCTTCATATTGTCTTTCAATGTCCTTGGGATTTTGGTCTTGAAGTGTCGTCGTCATAATCTAGAAACTCAAAATCAAAAAACTCAATATCTAATGCAACCAAAGTTATTTGAGCAAAATTTAAACTAATTACATTTGTATCGGTATTAGACGAGCTGAAGTTGAGAATTTGAAGGGTCTGAAGTGCGGGCATTACATCTTTATAATTATCATCGATCTTTATCGAGAAACAACTTTTATCGTTTCCTTTGGACGCTGTTTTTTCATTACGAATTGTAAAAATAAATAAGTTTTTTTTTAAAAAAAAACTTCTATAATGGATATTACAAATTTGACCAAAAAATCAAAAATATACTTGAAGCAAATAAATTCTCCTTATTATTAATACTATTATTGCTGTTGATTGTTTCATTAGTTGGAGCTGCAGGAGGGCGTATCGGTGTCAAATATTTACTCCATGAAGTGTCTTCGTGAAGTTGTTTTTGTGGCGTACCAAAAGATTTAGATGATTGTGGTGTATTAGTAGTGTCAGAAATTTTATCACTACATTCAACAATAAAAAAATTAATTTAAATTTAAGGATGTAAAATTAAAAAAACTTTATCTCACCTATTTTGTTTTCTCATCAATCTATTGACCCTATTAAGTTCACTTTGCTTAATACTCTCTTGGGAATTAAAGCTCGATATAAAATTTGAGTTTGATGATGGTAATGGTGTTTTATTATTATTCCTACAATTCTTTGTTGTTGTAGTTGTTGCAATTGGCGTTGATGGCCAGGACTTATCAAGCTGCAAAAACTTCGCCATCATAGTATTTGATGATTTTGTTGTTGCTTCTAGATTATTTTGTTGCAATTCATTATTATCAGACGATAGTGGTAGTTGATTATAGCAGAGTGAATCTTGGATCAAATAAATAAATAAATAAACAAAGATTGATATTTAAAAAGTAATTGTTAATGTAGTTGAATAAGAGAATAGATAACCTGCAAAATTTCTTGTGACTTCCGTGCATAGATCCTTTTATTTTATCGTAAAAAATACAAAATTATTTCAAAAAACAGCTTAATCTCTTTAGTCTTCAATATAGCAGAGAATTAAACCTTTTGTTGACCATTAGCAACAGCATTAGTAACAACAGAAGGAGTAAATGCGAAAACACCATCAGAAGACTTTGGTTGGTTTCTTAAGGACGCGAAAGACGGTATAATTGTGCGCTCCCAAGGAAAAAGACTACTTTTTTGTGAACTTTGATCCATGTTTGTGCTCTTTGCTCTTGTAGAATATATATTAGATTTACGCGTGACGTAACCAAACATTCATGATCAGTGGTAGTCCATCCGATAATCTGTCCGAAAAACAAACCAATGAGGATGCGTAAATTTTTAATCAACCCGGATTGACTTAAAGCACATGACCTAAATCTATAACACATTCAATGATTGGCTGAATTCTGCATAATATCATCGCTATCAAAACAAAAATGTCTTGTTTTGTAGTTGGCCCAGTAAATTCTAGCTGGCCCTCACCAACGAAAAGAAGCGCCGAAAACTCACTAATAACACCACAGACGTGAATCAAATTGGAAACTGATCGCGACCTGGAGAAATTCGCAACTTCAGCGAAACGAAAATGGCGGCCAAACT